CTTAGTACTTGTGTTCGAGACCTCTTGCGGGGAAATATGGCCAACATCCGCTAACACTTCTGGAGGAATAAAATTTATATTTTTATCAATGATCATAAATGCTGGATCAGGAATTTTGCTCATTCTAATGTAATTATGCAATGCAAATGTTGAGCAAATTATTCTATTTTGATCTCGAGGTGAATATTTTGGTAATTTAACTAATATCTTCCAGCGCGCCTTTAAAATGCCAAAAGCTCTCTCAATACAACTTCGTAAGGATGAATGAGCTCGATCGAAAATTTCTTGAGACCCTCTTGGATTTGCACCCCGAAACTCTGCTTGATGATATCTTGTCTTATGGTAAGGTGTCAAATACCCTTCTCTTTCAGGATAACCGTTGTCTACTAAGTAGTATTTACCTATGTACAAGAATATTGACAAACAATTTTTTAAGTTAAAATAGAAAATGATACATTATAATGGATAAAAAATTAAATGATACATTAATAAAAAAAATTACCTGTAGGAGGTTTTGGGGAATTAAGGTCTGGATTGGTAATTGCATCCAGAAAAATTCGAGAATCATGAGCGGATCCTTCCCATCCAGTAAGAATGTACGTAAAAAGTAAATCAAAGTCACATGTTGCCATGACATTGAGAGTAGTGGTCCCTTTCCTCCCTCTATATCGCAATTGATCCTCCTCAGGTATAATAACATCTATATGTGTACCATCAATAGCTCCAATGCAGTTCTAATAAAAAAAATATCATTTTCTAGATGACTATTATTTATTTCTAAAGTAAACACAAAGATAACATAAGTAAAATACCTTAAAATGTGGCATATATCGAGTATCATTGGCAATTTGCAATGGGACTTCTTTGAACTCAGAATCCCTAGGCCTTATTATATCCCTTGACAAGCCATCCATGGAATCCAGAACATCTTTAAAAATTCTACTTATAGTTTCACCAGAATGCTGAAATCTCTCTTGGGCTTCACGGTTTGAGGCTCCTATACTTAGAATAAATATAAATATTCCTACTTTCTCTAAAGTTGATGTTCTTTCTGAAGGGTGCAACCCATACTTACTTTCTAAGTCTAGGACCAATGCTCTAAATGTGCTGCTGGACATTCGAAACATGTGAAAACAACGTTTTTCATGTCCATTCAATATTTCATGCATCCATTTATCACCTGTCATAAATGAAGTAAAACATGTCTCTTTGTGTATGTACTTAGCATAATAGAGAGTGATATAACCTATCGCACAAGCCACTGAGTCGTAAAACAAACTATCTCTGTCCCTCTTACGTATTGCATTAGGTTTGGCCCTCAAATCCATACCTATAAACAACAATAAAAAAGTAATTTACAATCATGTATATGATCAAAACAACATACTCCATTTATAATAACAAATCAAAGTGCAACATCCAAATAACAACATAGTTCTCATTGCATTTAAAGTCTAACAAACGCAAGTAGCAACAAAGGTGAATAAACAAGAATATTCGATATGCTAGATATTAAATAGGTGTCCACTAAAAATACTGACAAGACAATAATAAAAATATTCACTCATTCTTCTCCGTCTTCGCATACAAAAATTTTATCCATTGGAGTCTTGAGTAATCATCTGGTATGCCGTTAACAATTATCCTCTTTTGGGGATCTTCGATCAAGCTGCAAACAAAACAAAATTCAGGGCTCCCAGGAATCAAGTCAGTCATGGACACTAACTTTGCAAGAGTGTCGGCAGTGCATTGGAAGAGTCAACGCGGGTACTTGCTTCAAGATTTATTATCTCCATATCCTTAGCGTTTCTCTCAGTAATAACTTTTACCATAGTATCAAGTTTCTCCATCAGCATTGCAGCACCTCCCCTTCTAGAGGATTCATTCTTTCGACTCTTTGAACTTTCTACCACATCATTCTCGAAAGCCCTTTTGCTCCCTCTATTCATAACAATTTTTTCTATTAAATGTGGAGAAAGTGAAGTGGGAGATTGAATTGGGCTGCTGTCGATCCAAACTTCTTCCCACTTTTTATTTGTTCTGCTAAGATTAACTGCATCATTCTCACAAATACCATCATATGGAGTGTTACCAACATCCATATATACTTGGGGAAAAAGATGGGATATAAATTGATTCATTTTCACATTGAACTGGAGTGAACCTAAGAGCCCCTTGAGCAACTGAGACTCCAAATAGTTGTTCCATCTTGTATTCTAGTTCAGGTTCAATCCCTTCATCTTGAAAAGATTTAAAATTAACATTTTCCTACAAAAAATATTAAAATATATCAGCTTTGACCATTTTTATGATATTTTAAAGTAAAAATAATATTTAAATTAACTGACCTCAATTTTTTTTTTCCACCACTCGTCACTAGCACTTATTGTTCCTTTTTCATGATCCCATCCTAGTCCAGTTTCCTTTTCTTTCAGTGCTTTCCAGAGACTCCATCTATTTCTCATCCAATCCCATTTATTTTTAAGTTTGTTCTTGTCATATGCTAAATTAGTTCTTTTTTGAAACTCAGCCTCCAACACCTTCCATGGCATTCTTTGTGAGATTGTTGCACCACGTTTTCCTTTACTTTTTTCCGCATATTCGATGCACAAATTACAAAATAAATACAAAGTTTCTTTTGACCAACTAGCCCGAGTCACATCTTTTCCCCCAGCTTTGCTTTCCATATCAATGTTCGTTCTCATATTTGATGTCATCTATTACATGACAATAAAAGAAACCAAATAATAATAATAATAATAATAATAATAATAATAATAATAATAATAATAATAAAAGAAACAAAAGAAGAAATAACATTAATAAGAACCATGGAAAATGTTTCGAGTAAAAAATGCAAACGGCAACTATGAATGAAGAGTGCTTAACAGGTAATCAGGCATGATCTCAATGTATGAGGAACAAACGACAAGTTGACATAATGAAATGAATTGACGAGAGATCATTGCATGTCTATGTGGATGCATAAGAATTCAAGAAAGTAACAGGTACTAAAGGCTTTACCATCTTATTCGTCCACTTCTCCTGATTATAGTCCACTCTCTCCTAGCTATACCCCAATAACTTCTGAACTTAGACGGCCATTGCCTACTGCTTATAGCCCGACTTCACCATGATGTAGCCAGATTTCTCCATCTTCCTCCCCAACCTCACCTTCCACCACCTTTCCTGGTTACACCCCATCACCTAGGTACAGTCCTACGTCACCCCACTATAGCCCGACATCTCCAAGTTATGATCCCTCGGAAAAATACAGCCCTTCTCTTGAATATTCACCTACGTCACCTAGGTACAGTCCTACGTCACCTAGGTACAGTCCTACGTCACCCCACTATAGTCCGACATCTCCAAGTTATGATCCCTCGGCAAAATACAGCCTTTCTCTTGAATATTCACCTACAAGCCCCAACATTGGTATGCCTTTCAGTTCATATAGCCCCTCCTCTCCAGGTTACATGTGCTTTGGTATATGTCATTGTAACTCCAATGTGCTATAATCTGGCTAATGCTTGGGTAAAGGTGTCTATAAGAATGTTTGAATAATTTAAAGGAGGTAAAGATAAAATGAGTTCTATGAATGCCTAAAATTTTGTTGCTTTATTTTCATGATATTGTTGCTTAATTTTCATAGAATGCTTTGTTTGAGTTTGCTTTTTTGTTAATTACAAAGAATAGATCCTTTTCTTTCCAGAGTATGCAACATACATATTGTGATGTTTTTTGTGTGTGATCTGTGCCCTTTTTGATACACCACTTGTAGAATCAAAAATAAAAAAAAAAAAAGTCACTTAATAAACAAATTAATAAAAAACCCACGAACAAGATTAAAAAAACCCACGAACAAGACAGGAGATTACACAAATTTGATACATCCCTTGTAGAATCATATATATATGGAACACATGAATTCAAGCACACGACATAAAAATAAAATTAAAGAAAAAAAAATATTGAAATTACCTCTTCAAGTTTCGTGGAGGAGAATCACCAAAGACGTACAGAGCTTAGGGCGAAAAAGGGTAGAACAAGATGAAAAATATGGAACCTTTATGTTGGTGAGTTTTTTTGTGAATCCTCTATCTCAAAACGCTGCTCTAATGAGCTTTTTCTAAATTAGAGCTTTGGGCCCAAAAAGCTTATCAAATAAGCTATTTACCAAACAAGCTCGATAGCGGATTTGACGGGTCAAACCTCTCAATTAAGTCCAATCCGTTAATTTATCTCCAATCCGCTATCTTCCGAACGGGGCCATTATATTTTTTACACATTATTCATTTCCATTTTCCTAGGTGCAATTACGGAGAGATGGAAACTATCAATCTTGAAACTGGATTTGTTCAACTTATATTATATTGATTTACACATTATGCATTTCAATTTCCCTTTGTGCAGGTATGGGCAGAAGATGGTCGCCTTTTCATTACCAGCAAACTGCAGCTCCACTTATATGAAAGCTTACAAAAGTCGAAAGACCTGAGTAAGGGAAACCTCCTCCAATAAAACTCGAAAGAGACGCAGTTTGTCATCAAACCAGTCATTGAAATTGAAATAAAATTATGAAATGAGAATCATATAAAGAATACCCAAAAACTAAATAATAACAAAAAGAATTACCAAAAATTAAAATATAACAAAACTAATTCTATTGATCTCCTTTGATCGAAGACGAATAGGACGTGCTAAAACGTCTACCGTTAAGGGATCCGAAATTTTCGATCTTGGCCACAGATAATTGAGAAGCTATTCAGTTTTAACGTGCCCTGATAAATCCCGAGCAATAGAAAGATATAAAAAGACACAGGATTTTAGGACCATGAAAATTTATTCCCCAATACTACTCCCCACACATAGTTACGCATAAAAGGATAAGCAGAGCGTTTTATGTTAAACAAACACGAGCCTAACATATGGTGCTGATACAAAACACGATGAAATAAGGATAGCCGAGCAATTTGAACATCATAAGAACCTCAAATAGCTTATGGGGTATTAAAAAAGTTCTTCTCTTTCAAGCTTTCAACAGTTTCTTTGACAGATTCTTCGAGAGAAGTGTACTCAACCCCCAGAGATTTCGCCTTTTCTTTCGACACCTGGTACTTTGGTACAAATGGCTTGTCATCTGCACACCTGAATAAAAAGAAGAAGGAAAATTGATAACTAATCAAGAATACACAACGAAAAAATATCATGCAGAATCATCAAAACCTCGAACGAAATGAAAGAGTTGAATATTGATATGAAAATCCTTGGATTCTCATAGAAAAGGAAATACAGAGTAAATATATCAATCATGGCAAGGACTTACTTGTCAGGGAGCTTGAGCGAAGGGTAAAGCCCACGCAATATGTTCACAATTTCCGACATGTGTGCAACAGTTTCCACCAGACAATACCTTCCATTAGCTGAAGGATTCTCAAATGCAAGAATATGTGCAAGGGCAACGTCTTTCACGTTCACCCAACCAAATGTAGTATTTGGGTATGTATCTGCACCTGAATGGTTCCACACGGGGATCAAAGATACCGGCATAAGATTCTTAGAACGAAAATTCAAAGACCACAATTCTTTTAAGGAAGCTAAAAGCATATTTGATACACTAAGCAATTGGGGCTTATATGTTCCGTTCATTTGACAACATTTATGAAAAAAAATGTAATAAGAATATAATGTAAAGATATCGTAAGGAATGGATGATAAATTCCAGCAAATGATACAAAAATTAAGTAAAAACTGATTATCGAGATGAGATCTGTCTGGAAGGTGGAGGGACTAGGCTCTAAGCTCTTGTTACAAGGAACTTACCGTTTATCAAGTTCAGAATTGCAGCAGAACTTGTGTTAAGAGTTGGCTGCAATAATGGACCAATCACCATTGCTGGGTTTATGACGACCATGTCCATACCTTTCTCTTTGACAAATTTCCATGCAGCATCCTCAGCCAATGTCTTTGAAAGAACATACCATAGCTGGTAGATACAATATGAAAAAAAAAAGAAAAAAAAAAAAATGAAAGGCTATCAAGAACCAAATATAAAAAAGTTGACCGTAACTATTTTACGTGCATCTACTAGCACAATCAGCATTCTAAATGAAAAGAAAAACAGATAGCGAAATAGGACATTAACCTGCATATTTCTGCAAATCTCAGGGTTAGACCACCAGGTCTCATCCACTACAACTTCAGGCGTTCGAGGCTTGCCATTGAACGCAACTGCAGCTACAGAAGACGTCAAAACAATCCTTTTGATGGATGGTGCTTTTGCGCATGACTGGAGAACATTGAGTGTCCCCTTGACTGCAGGATCAATCAGTTCCGTCTGTGGAAAGTGAAAGCTAAATTGAGAAACAATTCTTTTCCCACATGTCATGAAGTTAACAGAACAATCGAAGAATTAAACAAGAACTACTAGAGATAATTTTCTCACACCATTCAACCAAGTGAATCAATAAGGTAATCTAATATTTCTAACAAATTTTGATGAGATTGCTTCCCAGTAAGTTAGGATTTCAGTATGCAATCCAAAACATAAAGGCAACAAATAAAATTTATTGGGAAAAAATGGAAGAACCTGTGGATCTTTAACGTTGTGGTAAAAAGGAGATGCGGTATGAAAAACGCATTCACAGCCATCAACTAAAGAATCAAAGGACCCTTCTTCAATTAAATTTGCTTTAAACAAGTGAAGTCTCTCCTTGGCTCCATCAAGCTCAAGTAAGTGTTGTGTCTTCTTCGGATCACCTGAAAAATAAGTTCCAATTCTTCAATATCAAACAAATATATAGAACACCAGGATTGGTATTACTTAAAACTTCAAGTGTTCAGCAACAACACCTTATTACAAAGGCGGTAAAGATGATGTATATGGGAGATCATATGCGAGAATAAACGAAAAATTACAAACGTTCATTTAGCATAGATGTCCTGATTAATTATATCTGAAATTTAACCTATATATAAAAGAAAAGAGTTAATAAATTCATCAGGAATCAGCAAAATCAATCAATTACACGAGAAAAAACTATGGAATTTACATGAAAATGTGATGCTTGAGACTCCTGAGCTTATAATTTTCAACAGTGACTGAAAACACAAGAACAACTGAATTCATTCTTCCAGAAATTGGTATAATTATTCAAAAGGGATTGTCAAATTAAGAACAGTTAACCTGGGAAATCAAACGAACAACGGTATATATTTACATATGACTGTGTACAACAATAGGAGTGGGAAAAAGACGATCTCTAGGTTTCCATTTTCAACATTTCTCTCAGCAAATCGAGACAGAAACACACAGGCCATAGGTCATGACGGCAAATTTTCATCCATTTACGGCTCAATTTCTACCATAACTCTCAATACGCGACGATATCTTTCGCAATTACACAAACAAAACATAAGATCACTAACAAATCCATCAAATCGAACAATTAGTACCATGATCGATTGCCAAAAAACAAGGCGAAAACACAAACAAAAAAGAAGACAGAAGAATCGAGGAGAACTGACCGGGATCACGAACGGAAGCCTTGACAGTGTAGCCTTTGTGAAGCAAGAATTTGACCAACCAAGAAGCAATGTAGCCGGAAGCTCCAGTTACGCACACAGTCTTACCCTCACCGCTCATTGTGATTGATTCTTTGCAAAATTGTTATTATTGATCTCTCTCTCTCTCTCTCTCTCTCTCTCTCTCTCTCTCTCTGCTCTTACCTTTATAGATGTGCAAAGCGGACCGAGTGTGAGGATTTTATAGATGGGTTAGGTGTGTAGTAGGTCCCAAGTGCTGTTCTAAGCCATGACGTCGTCGTTTTGCATTTTCCAAAGGATTTTTTAGTTTGGTATGACTCAATGTTCAAATTTGACTTGGGCTCATCATTTAGGACGGTGTTAGTGATTTTAAAAGGCATCTAAATTTGAGGTTTTTTAAGATTTTGAGATTTAAAATAAAATTTTGGAAATCTTAGATCCCAAGATGGAATTTTGAATAAGGTTTTCATTTATGAAATATCTGCAAATCGCAGGAATATTAGTAAATCACAGTGTCAAATAAGTTAAATATATCATATACTTTTAAAAATCTCAAATGAATACCCCACTATTTTCCGAGTGTCACCTTATTATCCCACTGGGATCCGACACTCGGGTATTACCCTGTTGGGGTCTTTTTAGTTGTTTTTAGTTTTAGTTGTGTTTGGTTGTTGTGTAGTTGTTTAGTTTAGTTGTGAGTGGTTCATTCTAGCCTTGCTAGTCGGGTTTCTAGGCGGTCTTCTGACCTGTCCTCCCACTTTTTCAGCTGTTGGCTGCTGATTATTCAGCCGTTGGCTGCTGTGTATTTGCACTGATGTGCGTTTTGATTTATAATATTTCTATCGTTTTGGGAAAAAAAAAAAAATACCCCACTATTTTTAAAAATCTTATAAAGTCCATATATTAAGTATATTAGGTTTCTTAAAGTCCTAGCAAATCTTTAACAATCACATATGAATTTTTATTTTGATTCTCTAAAATGGTTTACACTTTCGCTATGTAAGTTGGTATCAATAGACCAGTACGATTCCTACATGATGTTGCCCAAAAAGAACAATGTTGCCGACTACATGCGCGACGCCATGATCAAGGCATTGGGGCGCCAAATTGCGAATCTAACCACAGTGACTGAAGAGATCGGAGTAGCTCAACAAGTCCATGCACAAGCCGGTTGTACAAATCGGTCGAGGTACTTGCGGGGAGCGGTTGACGCGGTCGGGTACTAGCGGGGCATCTCGCTCTCGATCGCACCTGTCGTTCTTCGGTGACGATGATCGTAAGGGCACCGTCCCTATGATTAATTCGTTTGGTACCTCAGCGGCGCAGGATGAGGTCCGGTTCATCGACGATAGACGTTGGATGTCATCTTTGCGGGTCAAGATCCCTGAAATTTATCTTGGGGCCTAGAAGCTATTGAGTTTTTCGATGAGCAAGGGTTGACCGAATATGAAGGCCTGCCACTTTTTCATGATGAAGAATTGACCGAATATGAGGGTCTAGCTCTTTTCGATGACGAGGGAACGACCGAATATGAGGGTCCGCCTCTTTTTCATGTCGAGGGGTCGATTGAATATGAGGGTCCACCTCCTTTTGATGACGAGGACCATGTGGTCGAGGAACACGTGACGGGGTCATCTGGCAGGTGCTTGTTCTTCGTCGATCCTATTTGGTTGAGTTCTTTGATCAGAAGGCTGAGTCACTTCACTCTATTTTCTTGAGCTGCCGGTGGCCCAATCTTCCGATAGAAAATTGAATTCCATGCTCTATCAGAGTTGATTTGGTCGAGGATATGGAGCAACTCAATCCTATAACCAACCTTCGTTTGTCATCTCACATTTGCACCCGGACGTGTTGCATTCAAGTATTTGGTGCCTTCTCACGGTGATAATTCCGATGAAGACGAGATTGTGCGGGATTCGAGGGCTACTCCTTCTCAATGGGGCGAGAATGATGTAAAAGAGATTGCGTTGGCCATTCTGGACAAGTATGGTCGTTTGGCATCATTGGCTTAATTAATCTGTTCTTTTTATTTTGTTATATTATTATTAATTTTAGTTTTGTAGGAAGTATGCTTATTATAAGAAAAATATTTATTTTATGTTACTTGTTAGAAAAATTATTAATTTATTTAGTCTTTTATTTGCTAGAAAATTTCATGGTAAGTAGGGTGTTGAGCAAATTGTACCTCGATCGGGTTGAACCGCGCCTAGATGGTTTGAACTGACTTGATGTCTCTGACGACCTGCAAAACGCTGGGAGGGGGCCCGACAGAAAACACTCCGACGCTCAAGTTAGCCCAACGTCCAGCAGAAATATGTCGGGAAAGTAAATTCACGCGTGTATGTGTGTTGTCTAGAAATAATGAACATGTGCCCTTTTTATAGTTGGGATTACACCTAGGTTGAAGACTTCTTGTTGGATAAGAAGTCTTGTTGGTGTCTATCTCTTAATTAGGTGGCAATATCTCTGGTCATCATACTCCTTAACGTTGTTAACTTCTTCATAACTTGATCCCAAAGCTACCCCATGCCCTGGTCCCCTTGGCAGAACCCTTTGGTCGAGGTGCCTATGTGCCAAGCTGCCTAGGTGCCGAGGTGCGTAGGTGCTAAGCTGTCTAGGTGCCGAGGTGCCTAAGTGCCACACT